AGTCCCAAATTTCTTTTTGAAAAATAAAATAGAATATGTTCTTCGCAACCCACTACCACACAGCTCGCTTGCCACGACAACCATGTTATAACCACTCATGCTGAGACTATCATTGCCACCACCACTAGAGGTAGACACAGATATTTTGAGTTAGAGAGCACAATCAAATTCTGTACAAATCGAATACTTTATTTTTTAAGTTTTGAATGATTCATACTTGACCCGATAAAATACAGATTTACATTTAAAAAATATTTCTTTATTAACATTTTCATCCATTTGATTTCGAATTGTCATTTTATTAATATTTTGCTCTTCACATAAAAATGCATATGCACGTTTAAAACATTCATAGTGTATTTAATACAAACAATCAATTCACCCATAAAAAAATAAAAAATACAAACAATCAATTCAAGTAATCGAAATGAAAAACATATAACCAATATTCAATAATAATAATAATCAATCAAATAAAAACAATTCGTTAAATATAAGTCAAATTGGATATAACACATTCTATATATACAATTTGATAGGAGAAAATGCAAATTTAGGTTCTAATTAATTGAAAATTTGATTGGAAAGTGAAGACTTGTAATATAGTGATAATTTGTAGAGAAATTATGGACAAACTTTAAAAAATTAGAGGGGTTAAAATTTTGATAAAAAATGTGAGGGGGAGAATAAGAGAGATCAAGAGAAAAAAGAAAAGAAAAAATCATTTTTTTTTTGTGACTTGCCTTGCTCCTGTATGGTGGGGATTAAAATCGAATTTTTAATAAATTTTGATAAAATTAGAAAAGTTATGAATTCCATAAATATGTTATTAAAATTACTTGTTAAATTCGATTTAGATTAAAATTTAGATTTCAATTGACACTAAACATAATTTTATAAAAAAGAACATCTTAAAAGTAGGGGGTCATATGACCCTAGGACCCCTCGAGTCCACCAGTGACCCCACCACCATTGAACAATAGGCAAGAGTTTGTCTCTTTATTCTTAAGACGATGAGATTTCACACTAATACATTCCATCTTCGAACGTTCATTTCTCAAAATAAAATGATCGATGGTTTCAATAATAGGAGCACTCTAAATTACAAAATGTTTTTTTGACACACTTTTAATGAAAGCAAAAACTAACTAATGCAGAATAATGTTTTTGAACAATTGCAGAGTGCGTGACGTTATAATATGCTATGAATGATTCCGTAAATGAGAAAAATAAATATTAAAAAATTGTGTTTGGAAAAGAGAAAACACTTGGAAATTACATTTTGGATGGGCACGGTCTGGTTCACTCTGGTTTCAAAGAGAATCG